CTATAAAATATTGAAAAGAAAATTGCAAAATGTCATATGAAAAATTATCTATTTACATATCTATTAATTTACTGTTATAGTCACAACAAATCGAGACAGTACTTCGCTTTGTTTATCAATTCAGGGACGAATGTAGAGACTCAAGAATTGCTATTACATTTTTATCCATATAACGCACAAAGTTGAACAAACCAATCGCGTGTTATCTGTTATTGTGTAGTCAATACGACGAGAGCTACGTATATCCTGCTCGTCGGTTCATAACAAGAAAACCATACGAGGATTGTTGACTCGTTATAATTTCTGCTGCGTAATACAAACCACGTAATAAAGAAAAAAGCAACACTGTCTTACATACACATTTGTTCACACTCAATAGCTTTCAAACCGGTTCGAAAAACAAGGTATATCTAAAAATGTTTCTTCTTTTTACAAATTTATTGTATAAAAATGTGTAACCGACATTAATTCATTGAACGATAATTATAAGTGAAACAGATAGCGTTTAAACACATGTCATATTAAAGACAGTTGATGATGGAATTGTTGGTTATCGAGCTAATTAAGATTTTACTATCGCATGACATATTGACTAATATATATATAATACATAGAGAGGCATTCAACTTGATCATTGATCATCGTATAAAATATTAAAGTGTCATTCTCAGAATTACAATTGGATAAAAATACAATAGGATCTCATCGTTCATGTTAAATATTTTTATCTTATAATATACTTGATGTGAGATATCATACACAATGAGAAATATACACGGAAAGACAATTTTGCTGCAGTATCATCAAAATAATTGTGTAGGACGATTAAGCTGATTTGTCAGAATGTCAAAATTTTTACAGCATTACTCAAGCTTGAGTATCCTATATAATTATTTTGATGATACAACAAGATTTTCTAATATTTGGCTAAATTTTTGAATGCGTTCACGAAATTGATTTTTCCGTATACATTTGGCGCTTAATTTTTTCGCGTTTCTGATTTCAAGATTATTAAATCTTTTATATTTTTCTAAATTTTTGATTTTCTGCTAAATACACTAAGAGAAATGTTTGATAACCATTTATTTTGTTGATATAACTAAAATAAATTTTCTTACTTTTTCATTTAAAAATCGTGCTGTTCTAATCAAAATTTATTTAGACTAAATTTTGATTAGGACAACAATTTTTAAATAAAAAAATAAGAAAGTTTTTGTTAATCACATATCAACAAAATAAATATATTCCCCAAAACATTTCTTTCACTATATAATTTTCTATAATACGCCCTTATACACGTCAACGACAAATCCTGCTATCACGTTTGTCAATCTTCTATCCCGAATCTCTCATCTGTGCAGCTTCCCCTCGAGAATGCGTTGGCGGTGCAGTCTCTAAACTTTCTCGCGATATCCCTTTCCGCGATAGCAGATGGTCTGCCTTACGTCACGGCCATTGCGAGGTCACCGACTCTTGACGTGGCGAGTGCAATTACTAGCCACCACGTATTCGCAGCTTTTATGTGCAGATAAAAACGGCAGGCAGTAGGAGTTCCTGCAAAGGCGAAAATGGAGTAATAAGAACGCGCCGCCCGCGGGTTTCTCTTCAAACGACCTCGATCATTCAACTACACAGAAGGAGAAAGCAATATACTCTTCTGCTTCTTTCCTATCTGTTACGGTAACCCGCGATTCGTACAATAAAGCACTCGATTATCCAAACGAATTCCTCTGGCGCTGCTCGAACAATTATCCTTTAGGAAGTACGTACGCCATTGCGTTGAACTATTTCTCTTTCTGTCTAAAGAGGAAAAGAGAAATTTAGACTTGTTATTATGAAATATTTGAAGTGTTCGTTAATTTAAAGGAATTTTTTTTATTTGATAATATCTACACTGAAAAGTATGGAGTGAAATAATTTCAATCAAATGTTCAGTAATATATAATCAAAAATATTTTTTATTTTTCTAAAAAAATTTAACAATTATTATTAAACTATTTGTTATATTATTATATTATGTTTAGTAATATTTATTAAATATTTAGAAAAATTATATTTTATTATATTAACCAAATATTTGAAATTATTGAAATTATTTTTCAGCATTTGATAGCTGTTGCTTTTTAACATATTAATTTTAGACGAAGTTAATAATTTTTATTAAAATTTTAATTTAATATGAAGTATTATTATCTTATTATGATGCAAGAAAATATCATTTAATTAAAATTTAATATTAGTACTTAGAGTTTTATTAATGAATATGATGATGATTAAACAGACTTCTAAGTACATTGTATAAGAATATCTTTCTGTTATAGAAATATGACAGTGTAGAGCGAAGTGATAATGTAATCGAATCGAGAAGTGCCGCTCTATTATATGTAGTAAATATACAACAGATAAGTCGTAACATGCAAAACGCATTCGCGATAACGAATTAAAAGCTGTCATTAGTATCATTGACGCTTCTGATTGGCTGTTACGAATACGAGTGCAAATAGTTTTGTGCCACGACTTATCTAGACGGGGCTTTATAGTTGTTTATTTAGTTATGTCGATGTGTAATCGTGGTGTGCATGCGCTCTTACGCATCAGATTTCATAATTAAAGTGAAGTAGTAAAAATATACGTCACTATACACCCACTTTTCCTCGAACTGCGATTGTCCATCATAAACGATCCGTCGAGGACGAATTCACCAGGGCCGACAAACAAGCTTGTTTTTTTACTCGTGACTTACTTCCCGGTGCGTCACAATATCCGTGCCAGGAATTTAAAAGTGGATAAAAATGATAGATATGTAGAAAGAGATAAAAAGTGTTTTCAACAAATTTTAAATAATATCTAAGACATAAACGATAACAAAATTACTATTCATTACATCGCTTGTTGCTTCCAGTACTAAGAAACGAGTCATTTAGCAAGAAATTAATTTACATTCTGCTTACTCTGGTAAACATATACGACACCTGTACAGTTTTTATTGCAAAATAATCTAGGAATTAGAAATAATAAATATGATGAATGGATAATATAAAGAAAAAATTATCATGCAAATAAATATCCATATAATAATTTCAATAGTAAAGTGAAAAAGTAAGAAATTAAATAATCTTCTAACTCTGTAAAAATATTTAATAATGTCACACTTAAAGTTTTTATATTTTGATAAAAATTAACCGTTAATAAAAATTAAACAAAACGTTTTTAATCGTATTGTGAAATTAATTATATTCCTATAAAAGATTATTTAATTTCTATTCTATCATCTTATTGTTTAAATTATATTATGTATAGTCATTCATACATAATATAATTTCATTATCATTAATTTGTTTATATTTATTACTTTTCATTTCTATAACATTTTGCAATGTAAATTATAATTTTAATAAAATCAAAAAGTAATAAAATTTAAATAAAAAGTTTCTGATTTATTTTTAAATTAGTATTCGTGAAATTATGATGCAACTTGTGTTCCAATTTCTCGTCGCAATCGAATGATGTTAAAAAAACAGAATTCATGAAATATTAATTTAATTAAATTTTGCAATGTTATATTAATTGAGTTTTACAATATAGAGAGCGCCACGTAACGAAGTCGATTCTGCGTCGATAACGAACGTTGAAAAATCTCTGAGTAGAGATCGACTTTATCTCGTTAATTAGAAATAATGGCCGGTATTCTTATAGTTTGTTCTTATTTCAAGACTATCTTAAACAATGTCTTAAGATGCCTTAAGATGCTAAATTAATGTCATTAGAATGTATTTCAATATTTATTGTCAATACTGAAAATTTATAATTCACATTATTATAGATTTTTAGTATTGATTTTGATTATTAAAATACTGCTTAAGAATAAAGTACAAAACACTTTTCAATACTTAAATTTCTATTTAAAAATTAAATATTTCCAATGAAAAGTAATACGTCCCACTGAATAAAGATAATTGGAAATTAAAGTAACAATAAAAGTAAATTTTTTACTATTATTAGAGTAAAAATGTAACAATGTTACCATTATATACAAAAGTAAATAATGATCGTTACCAAAAATGAGTAAATTAACGATAATAGCGTTACAAGTTACAAGTAATACATTATTTTTCAATTCCGCTATTTTGTTTTAACGACTAACAGTCCATGTTTACGTGATATTCAGATTAGATAATATTCAGATCAGACGATCTACGTGTTGCTATTTCATATATCGATAAAATGCAGGAAAGTTGCGTTTTGTATTGCAACATAATTTATAAATAAATACATAAAAAGTGGTTAACAAATACAAGCAATAAATAAAAGGAGCATACACCATCTGCAGGATTTATGTAACGCAATGTTATATATTAATAATCTTTCATTACCGAATTTTACATAAATTTTCTTGCGCACATTCTTGTAACGATCGTTGTAAATAAACGCAAGTATGTTAAATTAATCCCAAATTTAATTTCAAACATATAATACAAGAAATTTATATTAAATTATATTAAATTGAACTTGTCTGGAAATTGTGTACACAGCGATCAAATTCAATTTTAAATGTAACAACGGAAACTGAATTAAAAATATTATAGATGAAGAAAAAAATGTTAAATAAAAGATTGTTATCAGAGATGATTTATATAAAGAAATAGATATGAGATTTAAATTTATAAAATGACACGTTATCGTCAGATTGTTTTCCTATTATATGCTAAGTTATTTAAAAGGTTATAATGCTCCTTTTTTGATGTTTTGTTTTTTAGTACTATGTACAATTTGTTTTGTAACTTATTATGTGTCCGTTGTTCAAACCATCAGCATTTTTGTAAGAAGTCTCGTTCCTTTTGTTATGTAAGTTTATTACATAATTACATACATTTTTATTATGTAAATTAATTTTTAAAAAAATATTAATATTAATCAATTTTCTCATATTATATTTGTTTTAAATAGTAAATCGGACAATTTAATAATAATTTATAATATAATATATTACTCATGATTCAACTTGTTTGACTTTATGTAAGTACATTATTTTTTATAAAATTGTGATTCCCCGACATAATAACAAAAATTATTATAATTCTTATATATAGCAAATGGGACAATTTGATTCCAAGATTCGACAGTATTAGACATTTAATAGTTTGATCATTAATTCGATAACGAAAGATTTTTTAAATAGTATTTATATTTATATTTATGATATTTATATTTATGGTATTGCGCTGCATAAATCCTGCATGCTCCTTTTATTTATTTCTTAACATGATTTATATTTTTATTTTATACTTTAAGTATTTCTGATAATATTGTTGGTTTTTCCTCTTATTCTTTATACTTCATTAACTTGATGGCTGGTGTGCGATAAAAACGTAATCTAAGTATATAATTCCTTTGATTGATGATCATCAACAAGATTAATAGAAAGAGTGGGGCTTGATATTCAATCACATTTATTTAAGAAATTTATAAAGCGAAATTTCTATAGGAATTTGAGATAGTCTCGTTACAATGGCCATGAAGCTCGTTTACATTCTTATACTTATTCCTTTGGTTTCGGCCAAGCTAGAAACTTTGTAAGTGTGTAATAATATTTTACTCATATTAAAAATTATTATTTAATTTATCTTAACTTTTCAATGTTTGTTATTTTAACTTTATCTTTAATTTTTCGATTGTCAATTTAAAAAATCAATTTTAAATCTCAAAAACATCTTCTAACGTACGTTATATTATTTATACTTCGCTTGTAAATTTTTTTATTTTATTATGTAAAGCCTATTTCATTTAACTTCTTTTAATTTAACTTCTTTTTAATATTATTTAAAAATAGAATCTACCTTAAGTCGAAATAAATTTTCAATAATTATAGGAATATTACTGAAAGATTTGCAGATGCTAATATAAATGCTCTAATAGATCATTCTATTCCTCAAATTTCGCAATATATAATCAATCATGGCCTGGACCCTCTCAAGCTCCCGCCAATTACGAAAAAATTATGGATGGTACGTAACGTTCTTACTCAATTTATAAAAGGAATAGTTAAATCTGCGAGATTATTTAATTATTTATTATTAATTATGTTTAATTAAACAATAAATATTCATAATACATTACAACAGATCTTCACAAAACAAATGTTCAATGAACTGTAAGCTTGAATTTAGTGAATCGAGTAATGCCATCGAGAAACCAGTTACATAAGAGTCCGTTATTACAATAAATTCGTGCACGTTCCCTCACAATTGCGAGAGGTTGCCTCGAAAATCGGGAGAAAGCTGGGTTTCGGGGTCAGAGCTGGGATTTGAGGTCAGCGGGCCGCGATACGAAAGCGAGCGCACTGCTTAACCTCGGCGCCTCGAAAATCGGGAGAAAGCGAAACCGAAGAGTTGGGCCTTGGACGAGAGCGAGAGTGAATCCCGGGATGACACTTTCGAGCATTGACCTTGGACCGAGGTGAATCATGATAGAAGTCAATCCGAGGTCAATCCTCGCCTCGTTTTCACCGATCTCATTTTTGACGCTTCGAAGGTTGACGCGCAATACCTTTAAACTTGAACGAGAGAGTGAAATCAAGGTTTCACTTGGTAGATCGAGGTAGAAGGCAAGCTCGAGCTCAAGTTCAATGCCGCCGTTCAGCGCAAGTGCTCTTCCCGTATCACGTCGGGCGCGAATTAAGTCATTTATCTTACGGTACTACCATGAAATTGAATAAGTTCCTCTCTCTGTCTCAAATAAAGAGAATATATTTCGAAGGCTTTTCGCGAGAATTGAAGATTAAAGGAGAGTGAAGTATTTTTTAGAAGATTAAATCACATTTTATAATATTCTGTGTACTCTTGTAAATCCATATTGCACAAAAGCTTACAACAATATTTGTAATATTTATTGTTTTTGCAATATTGCTGGAATAATCTACTGTTTGTAAAGTTTCTTTATCGCTATTAACATTTGTATATTAATCCTCCAGAGTTGACAATAGGTTTAGTTGGGACTCGCTTATTTATAAATCTCTTTATCAAAAATGTTAAAGAATTCAATTTTTTTAATGCTAATCTATAAATTTAGATTATTTTTATTGTCATTCTGTTACGTCAGTCTATTTCCTTGAAATTAATGCCTTTTAACGTAGATAAAATAAATAGGTCTTACAAACTCAACGTGAGTAACCGCGTTAAAAATTTTGTCGTCACCTCCGAAAGGTAGATAATTTTAATGTTTGCAAGCATCTTTATATATATTTTGAATATATATATTTGATTATTTGATAGAAGTATATTAATTCATTTATAATTGAATAAAGGTTTTACTCGTCTGAAAAGTAATGTCATATTTAAAAACAAATTAATTACTTAATCGCGCCACTTCAGGCAAGCGATTAAATAATTTAAATGTTTATTAAATATTGTCGAGAAAACGTATACATTGGTTTCGTATTACATCTCATTATTTTTAAGTATGTATAGAGATAATGCGATGATAAGCAACGAAATCTTATTACGTTTCGTCCAACTACTCACATCGCCATGATTTCGCGTTAGATTTGAGGGTTTCTGATAAAACATTAACTCGATTACGATAACGAAATTATACGTCACGGTTTTATTAAGACTAATAAGTAATATACTGATTTTAATTTTATGCAAGAATCTTCTACAAACGAAGTATATCGAACCATACAAAGCTGACTTGTCTTTGCATTCTGGAATATTGAAACATTTGTCCAACTTGAAGCGTTATGGCAACGCTACTATGCATTACGAAAATAAATTATTAAAACTGAATATTGGTTTCGAATTTAAAGAATTAGAGGTAACAAATTTTTTCATTTCCTCGTTTCTTTAAAATAAGAAGCTTACTAAATAAAATTACATTATATAAGCATTTTAGTTGTATACATATACAACACATTATTATAATATTCTGTTTTGTAAAAATAATTGTTTTTATATTTAGGTATTATACGATTTCGCTGTAAAAATTTTTTTTTTCAATTCTGAGGGCCTCATTTTAGCTTCAACAGAAAACGTACGCACTAAATTTTACGTCACATTCAACACATCGAATAAATCTTTATCTCTCAACGAATTCGACTTACAACTTCCAAGGTATTGAGCATTAATCGCAAATTATTATATTATGTAGAATCTATGTCTTTCTCATGATATATTTATGTTTATTTATGAAGAAATTTTATTCTAAGCTTAATTACTCAATTATGCGTTATATTATGAAGAAATTTTATTTTAAGCTTAATTCAATTATGCTTTATATTATTGCAGTAGCATTAAAGTCACAATCAAAAATAAGAAAGGAGAAGTGGAGCATATAAAAACATTAATCGTAAAAATCATAATTCCTTTCTTTAAGAACACCCTTGTGAATATTATTCAGAAGGAAGGAGCGAAAGCAATTCAAGCATACCTCGAAAACATAGGCAAATTTTTCGAAAAATTGGAAACACGTAATGAAATAATAAATCAATATTTACAAATATTAATTTCTTAATATGATATGTTGTATAATTTATATTGTACGTTCATAAATACATTAAATTATTCTAATGTTTGTACATTTATGAGAGTAGTCTCAAGGATCCTTGAATGTCCTTAAATCCTGGCATTATCCTGAGATTTAATGTATCTTGAAAAACATCTATTTCAGGACTGACCTGGAATTTTTGTCATTCTTTTATAAAAAAAAAATTGGATTATGAAAAAGGAAAGAAATAAGAAATATTTCCCGTATATGCGCAAAAATTATGTCGGTAACGAACTTTCACTTTTATAAAGTGATGTTTATGATATATTAATAAAAAGAAAAGTTGTATTTAGATATAAACCTTCTCTTAAAGATGCATTAAGACAAATCACTAATTGAAAACTTGGATTTAATATCTGCAATTATAGAATATAGCAGAAAAATTATCGTTTGTGTTAAATGTTCATTTATTATTTATAAAACATTAAATAATATTGTTTCAAATTTGTTTGCGTTTTAATTAATTTGTCATATAGAATTCTAATTTGAATACAAAAAAACATATAATATTTGCGCGAATCAATATAAATTAATTAACTGATGAAAATTAATTGACTTGGAAAAACCAAAGATTTTTACTCAGAATGTCCTGGAATTATCTTTTCCTGGAATTGATCAGATATCGTTCACACTAAATCTATATGAATCTGTTCCATCAATATAATGAGAATCTTTTTTTAATGAAGGTTTTTTCAAATAAAAACTTAAAAGTTTGTTTTTATATTTATATATCCGGAAAAAAATTTCCGTATTTATAGATGCAATAAACAATTTGAAAATGGAAAGAGATTCTTGAAAGAAAGTATAACTTTTTTCGTGAATGTTTAGAGATTTATTTCTATATTTTCTTATTGATAATTTTCGGTTTTCATAAAAAAAGGTATAAAAATATAAAAATAAAACGCTCTCTGAACGGTCGCAAAAATGTAAAAGTTGTACTCTTCTTTAACTTCTTAGACTAGTTTAGTTTTGTAAAAAATTCTTTAATTACATGTATTACAATTTTGACGCTGCAATCATTATTCCTAAAAAATATTTTGCTACTTCAATTAGAATTATAGCTGTTTTTTGTATCTGATAAAAAATTATATATCATACGTATAGAATTTATAGCACAAATCTAAATTCTATCTCTATCATCTATATGATTAGATGCAATACATATTCAACACTTACTGGAAATTTATCTATTTTAGCTATTTTTCGTATTTAGATAATTTTCGCTATAACTGCAAGATCACTTTTTTGAATATAATGCTGTTATATCGGAAAGATCTTTAGATTGTCGTTAAATGATTTCGTGATATCTAACTGCTTAGAATTATCAAGTCGATAAGACGTAATCAGATGTCAGAAAATGAATAAATATAGAGAAAACCGTATCTTCGGTAGTTGAATTATTACCGCCGTCATGGGTAGGCAAATACAATTGACTTTCCTCCTCGTAATCGTAGTGTGTATGGTGCATAGTACACCTCTTACAGTTGAACAGAACACTGAGTAAGTTCGTATGCTCTTAATTTTTCATGATCTTACTTTTGTTATTTATTCGTTCTGTAATTAAATCTTCGTATTGCATTTTACAGAGAATAAAACTTTTTTTTTCTTATGTTTACTTTAATCTTACATTACTTGCACAAATTTTTAAGGTAATTATGAGATCGCGTGAAATATTTTTGACACATCAACATTATATCTCAATTTTCATTGTTCTCTTTGAAGATTTATAATAAATGAAGATTGATATATCCTGTAGATAAAGAGATAAATACAAAATATTTATTTAATTGTAAAACAATTTGCGCTAAATGTAATGTGCATAAATATTAGGTGTTGGAATTAATTCGTAGCGTTTTACAAGTGATGGGAAGTACTTTCATTAATGTATTTTTTAATGCTCATGTGAAATAAATAACATTCTTTCATTAAAAAACGCTACGAATTAATTCCAACACCTAATAGTTTTTATACATTTAGCGAATTTCTAAGACTGGACATCCCATGCGAGTAAAGAATTATTGCAATTTGCAGTTAACTTTACGATAACTAAAAAATCGTACGCGCCAGATATACTTCTTCAATTTTTCAAGAAATAAAATTTAAAGTTTTTATATACATTTTATATATAACGTTCTATATATTTATTTTATATATGTATGTATATATATATACAAAATTTGTAATTGATATATATATATATATATATATACGTGCTTCGAAAATTTATTACATACTGTGATTTCATTTAAATGAATTAATTGAAGCGTTCAACAAACGTATATTTTTATATTATGCAGTTCTGAAAATCAAAATGTAGAAATAAGAGCGAATCTTAATAAAGTAGTTGATGCTCTATTGCCTTCCATACGTCAATTCATCTTGAAGAATGGAATGGATCCTATGCAACTCCCCAATATTTCTACACATATTTTCCCACATTTGGTATGTAAGAATGAAACTAATAATTAAATCTTTGTTCCTACAAAGATTTTTGTTAAATTTTCTAAAAAAGTGATAAATTGAAGTTCATTTTTCTAAGATCCAATAATAAGATCCACTGATACATTTCATTCCGATTATTTGAAAATAATACTTTTAGACTGGGAAACTCAAGGGAAATCTCGATCTCAAGAATGGGTGGATACAAAATTTATCGCTAGTAAAGCGCACTCAACATGTAACTGCAATATATAAGGACTTACGTTTAACGATAGATATGAATTTGGGATTTGACGTTATGAACGTAAGAACAAGACGGACATGATGCTAATATTAATAACATGATTAATATCAAAAAGCTACAATTTATAAAAGACTTATATCTCATTATATAACTTTTTATATCTCATTCTATAATTTTCAGTTTAATTATAATTATAATCTGAAGCATTTACTATATAAGAGAAAAGGTGATGTATATGGTCGTTTATACGATCTTGATGTCAATGTCGTGGCGACGATCGATCTAAATACATACTACTTACTTCTCGATTCCATAAAGTTCTCTAACGTCTGGTAAGTATTTCTTGTTTCCTTTTGTACACTGAGAGAAAAATGTTTCATATTAAAATTATATTATAATTGTATGATAAAATAATTCTGGTTGATCCATTTTTATAGTTGAGGTGTGCCATCAAAGTTAAATGTTAAAATTAAATGTTTAATGTTTCTATAAATGAAGAAAAATAATAGTGCAATTCAAAACGTTGTAGGTACAATTGATATTTTTATTCTACAACATTTTGATTTACATTTTTACTTGAATTTACATTTTGAAATTTTAACAACTTTGAACACAATTTTTAAAAAGTTGGTACTTAATTAAAAATTTTTGTAAAAACTGATTTATGGCTCATATTTTTAGTTACTACAGTAATTTTTTGTAAGTTCGATTGTAGTTCATTCAAGAAAATAAATTTTTCCTTTCTTTTGAAAAATTAAAAAATTATTACGTTATTTACACTTATTATGTTTTATTTTGGCACGCCTCAGTTGTTGCTAAAATATTAATAATATTAATTATATTTGTAATTCCATTAAAAAATATATAGTTAGTATTATAAATTATTATAAATTATAGTTAAATTAATGATAATTGCAATCATTTTTTCTTTCGGTGTATTATTTACTCATCGTATATAAAATACTACAAGTAGGGATTTTATGCGAGCAAATCGAGCGCAAATATTTATTAAATATTTATCAATTTGGAATGTCATAAATTATATTCTATTGATTGATGATAGGACTGAGTTGTTTTCGTAACGGCACATTAAACAGATGCAGTAATAAAACGATGTAGTAAATAATCATTGTCCGATATCTACATTTGATAAGTGCAGATATCGGATATTATTATTATCTATTATATTGTTTTCCATCTGTTTAATATGTTGTCACGAGAAATGATAATAATCGCCCTGTAAAAATTTCAATTGAAGTTTATCAAGATATGTCACTGATACTTTCAATTTCAACATCTACTCGCAAGCATCTTCTTTTATTAGATGGCTACGAAATATTGATTAATCTCTTGATTTAAATTGCAAATTTATCTTACAAGTTTAATTTAATTTGTGAACAATTTACAAACATAAGTATATCATAAGTTTTTGCGAATTTAATTCGCGTAATAATTTTTTTTTTACTTTCGTCTTTACTTTTTTCTTTCGCAGGAAATTCGACCTACAATTTAGAGGTAATCTTCTGGATCCTCTTGTGAACGCTTTGACTAAAATAATCACAAAGGTTTTCCAAAATCCCCTATTAAAAGTTATTGAGAATCGTACCAAATCGAATTTCGGCATACAACTTGATAAGTGGAACACAAATACTCCACAGTCAAAGCGTACGGCAATAATAGATAAATGGCTCGACATTGTGAAATCGAAATTTAATAATTAATTCTTGTTATTCTATGATGGTATATTCATGATTTTATACCCTAAAAATATAAGCTGATTAAATCATTAAACGCTTATAATATCAACATCAAGCACATTTATCACTGATCTCCAAGCATTTTATAGTCCATTTTATTTTCCACAGTTTAAGGATGTATCAGATCTATGTTGTCGCTGCAAAAGTAACTAGAATTGGAAATTTATTTCTGCATAAAAATAAATGCTATATACATATAAAATAATTCAATAAATTCAATATTTATACTTAACAGTATATAATAATTTTATATTTTAAATGAAAATTTTCAATTATTTCTTAAAATTATTATTATTTCTTGTCTACTTTTTATTAAAATAAGCCAAGTTTTAAATAAACCAAAACTATTTTTTATTACTTTTAAATACAATTAGATAAAAATCTGTAATTTTTTTCATAGGTTTTCCTTTTTGTTAAAAAATACATACAATCTTTAATTCTTAAAATTGAATTTGAAAATTGAAGTATGTCCTTGTTAATCAACTAACTTGGTAATGTAAAATATCTTTGCAAGTAAATTATTTTTATTCTATAAAAACAATATTAATTATTTTTATTATCAATAGATAAATTATCTGAAGAAATATCTCTACGAACAATTAATATATCATTAACAAACGCGCGTCAAATTTTACAAAATGATGCGAAAATTATTTGATGTATGCTCTGCTCATAAGCGACGACAAACTACGGTAGTTTTGATGGGCAAACGGTGAATAGTCAAACTATCTAAAGCAACGATCAATATGCATTACTTACAACACTGTTAAGCTGTAACTTTGCGAGTACTCCTGCCGCTTAATCTTATTAAACTTAGTCGGATTTCTCTCCAGCACGTCGCGTCTTGACGCCGTTGTTTTGGTCGCGAACGGCGATAGCGCAATCTGCATAGAGATAGCTCTATGAAAATCCACAGGGGGGGTGGTCTCCGGGGATATCACGAGAGGTGCGCGTGGTAATCTTGTTTATACATACAACATTGCGGATATCGCAAGCACGAAACCGCCGATCGATAACGCCGACCGATTCCAGGTGCTAATACTAATATTATATATGTACTTCATTTTCACCACTCTGTTTTACGCTCATCCAAACATTCCTATTAATTTATCCCTGCCCCAAACCAGAACCTTCTAACAGAAGTTAATTTGTTGGTATAACACAAAGAAAAATACTAACGCTTCGTATTCATTAAAAGGATCAAATGAATAAATTGCTATAAAAATAAAGCAATGAAAAATCAAATATTTCATTTTAATACAATATAAAGAACGTAATTGCTGAAAAGAATTTTAAAATCCTATCTTTGACAAGAGAAATATAATATTAATCGAAAAAATTGACCGCTCTCAATTT